TTTTTTTTTGTTTTAAAGTAGGTAATCATTTTCTAATACTTTTTCTTTTTTTACATCAACTATTCTATTGAAGAGTAACATAAAAGAATAATCTTTTTAGTTTGATTGACCGACTAAATGAACTCGATAGGATTTTGTTAACGAAATCGATCAGTTTAAGACCATATAATCAACTTAAAAAACGAGATTATCCGAGAATAAAAACTCTTGGTTTTATTAACATTATTCTATTTATGAAATGGCTGTAAGGATCAAGAGAAAGAAATTCCCAAAAGATTATATGTACATAAATTTCTATAGAAAGAAGCACTAATTAAATATAAAGAGTTTTTTCCCTCTTAACACAGAACAAAACAATATGCTTTTGTATAGAGAAAAAAAAGAAAATGAATTATGTAATAATGCATTATTACTTTTTGATTTTCAAGCATGATTATCTACTAATTGTTCTACCCAAAAAAGGATATTTGACAATATCTTTTAGAGAAATTTTTCATGATAAATAATTATCATTAATCAATAAGAAAGAAAATGTTTCTTTTATAGTAGGTACAACAAACGTTCGATAACGATAACTAATTATGATCGATAAATATAAATTGATGTAACAAAGAGATAATTCTATACGATCAAAAAACAAATGTGTCTGTTAATCTCATATATCAACAACAAAAAAAACGAGTTCAATATACTTGAAAATAAATGAGATGAAGCAATGTACAGAAGTTATATCGTTTACAACATTGGATAAAGGTTAATTGTTATAGATTTATAGCTAATATATATTCAAAAGTAATAAAATAACATGCCGACAGAAGAAAAAAAGAAGAAGGGAGATGAACAACAACATACGAGATTAATATAATAAATAATAAATTTAACATAGTAAAGATCATAAATCTGAATATTAATTAATATCAATGAGAAAATAGTTTGTTGTATGATAAACTGACTGTCACGAAAAATTCATACCTGTTTTCTTTTTTGTTTGAATATTTTTATTGAAATATCTGAAAGCAAAGGTTGAACCGTTATTTTTCATAGAACATTTTTTTTTCTGTTTGATTAATTTATACAATACATCATTAAATACCATAGACAATTCCCAATAGAAAATAATAAAAAAAAAGATATAGGATCAGCATGTTAATTAGAACGGATATTATTATTAAATTATTTATATAAAATTACATAATAAATCCTTTGTGATATTATATTGTTTCATTGCCTTGATGAGTATAAATTCTAATTCTATTACAATCATATAATTCACTTTATTGCTTGCTGTTCTGACTAATGGAACATCATCATTAGTTCATGAAACGTGTTTATTTAAGAAACACGACAGATTATACGATTCATCATTTTAATGGTTGTGGTAATGATCTTTATTACATCAATATGATGTCAATGAAACAACAAAATTGTACTCAAGTAAAACAAAACCTTAATTATACCAAAGAGATTGTTCTATTTCCTAAGAATGTGAATGTGGATTGGAATGTCAATATGAATAGAATAATTAATCTAATGTTCATATCTAGATTCGTATTTACCTTTGTATTCATAAATCTATATATTATGATTGAACCTTGGAAAATATTCTTGCTTGTTAAATCTGAATGAAGATAGATTTCGAAGAGTTTAATACATTTTTTTCTATTGATCTAGCACGACTTCATAAGACTTTACTTAAAGAAATGTATGAGTTCAATTAGCAAAGAATGGAAGAAAAAATTTGAATAATTGAGTAATATTTATTTATTTAATAAGTTAATTCATCACATGTAAAATGTTCAAAGAGACTAAATCAACGTAAAAATTTTGAAAAATCATAAATATAACATTATATTTAAGTGTAGACTAGTTACTTTGTATCACTTGATCAATGAAAATAAAATAGTGCTATTTTTTCAAGTATCACATGATTATTGTGTATATTACTTAATAAAACTGTTTTATCAAGTCATAGAGTATAAAATTGAAGTATTGCATCAACAAATATAAAAGATTTAGTCATTGTACTAAATAAAATAGTATTATTCTAAGTCGATCACCTTTCGATTATTATCGATTTAAGCTTGCGATCAAGGACAAACTTTAATTCTATAGACATGATGATACTACTAGAATGATACATTAAACTGGTGATAAAAAGGATATGAATATCATGAATTATTCATATAGCTATATTTAACAATAACCAAATCAAATTACTTAAATTCATTCTGCTAACGGAGAGAATCACAAAAAAACCTCTATCATTTATTTTATATAGCTATAATTTACTGACAAACGATATAGGCTGGTTACTAACAATTCCACTAAATATTTAGTTTTAAAATCATATGTAATCTATTGTAGCGGTCAATCGAGCAGTATTTTAAAGCAAATGAAACAAAATCGTACTTTTATACTCTTCGATATACATATTAAATCTTGAAAAATGAATTCAATCAGTGATTACTTGAAATTAAAAAATTAGAAGTACAAGTATGTAACTACTCACCTTGTTCTCGTTAGATTGAGATATCATGTAATTACATAGAGTGCATTTCTCACAAAGAAAAAAATAGTTGCAATATAATTTCAGAAATCAGTTTAATGTTCAAGTTTAATAGTATTTACTATTTTACATCAGATCCAATAATAGAGACAATATTTAATTTTAAAGAATCAGAGTTTATAATAAATAAATACAAAAACAAATAGTTTTATTAAAATACATAATTAGTTGTTTTTAGATATGACAACAGTTTACTATGCATCTGGATCGAGTTGACTAAATACACGTCCACCTTTTCGACTTGGTTCTATGTTAGATAACTTCAATTGTGTCTTGACTGGCATATTATATTCAGTTGATAAATCTGTTTCAGATTCATTCATTTCAGAGTTCATGGACTCGTCACTATTATTGTGTAGCAAAAATGATTCATCCTTATTTTGTCGATTTCCATAAAAATGAAATATTAAAAATGATACGAGTCCAACGATGCACAGTAAAATAATAGTTGATAATACTAAAAAAGATTTACTCGAAGGTTTAGAGGTTTTGTTGGAAGAATGTTGATTATTGAGAGATGTTATTGGCAATCGGGATTTGTTTGATGGTTTTCCTAAAATTGTTGCAGAAGTAGCTATGGATAGTTCTGTTATTGCTATAAATGATGTAGCGGTATCTATGAATTTAGGAAATGTTGTATCTTTATTTGAAAGTATTGTCAATGGTTTTGTTGTTATTTCAAGTTCTCGGGTAGTATCTTAGGGTTTAAAAAATGTTGTACCTGTATCTGAAAGTATGATTGATGATGTTGTTATTATTTGATGTTTTGTAGTCATCGTCAATGTACTAGTCACAATAGGTGTTGTTGTTATTGTTGAAGTTGTACTGGTCACAGGAGCTGTTGTTGTT